TTCCAGCTCTCCGAGTCTTCTCCCTGTTTGGTACATACTACAATATATATATATATATATCAGTGCATGTATTTGTTTGTTAATCACATTATTGGATCCTCAAATAAACTCATGATAATTTACGATATCCCGGGGAAAAACACTAATTTTCCAAATTTACGAATTCATCCGAAAATAAAATTCACGCTTGACTGGGTTTCTGCAACTGTGTGACGAGCGTGCGACTAGATATTCTTCTCTAAACGTCATGAAACTTAAACTTAGTTCAACTGTCTGTTAGAAACAGCAAAACGTAAGCAATGTTTTCATCTGCTTGACATTCAGATAAACGTGGGATTACTATTCTAGACAACTGTTCAAGTTTTTCTCTCTCTTCTGTCAGCTTCTTTCACTAACCGGCGATGTTGGGGTGGAACCAGATTGACTAAACCTAAGCAAAATTCTTCTTGGTAATGGATTACCCAGAAGGAAAGATCAAATTAGTCGGCGTACACAGACCCACTACTGTCTTATCGTATCTATATAAAGTGCAATACCCGGCTGATGCTTTTTATCTTGCGTTTATTGTTACCTAAAAATTGCATTTGAATCCAGTTACGTAGCCGTAGTTCACTAGTCACCAGAAGCTTCAAACAAGAACATATACATTGGATTGTAAACAACTGTCAAATACAACCAAACGAAGTTTTTATTTTTTTTTTAAATCAAACATCATCAATTTCAATTTTGTGAAAGCAATTTACTCTGCACTTTACATTTTAGTGAGAGACTTGGACGCTTCAGAATAGCCGATTCCACAAGGGAACGAGGTGGGTAGTTGACGAGGGGAGAATAACATCTGTTTTAGGTTGGTGAAGTTTCCTCATTTGGGATGAACACAGCAAATGAAACCGAGGTATATGAAGCAATAAACGTAATGACGAAACGTATTCAACACATTTATGGAGTAAAAAGTTTGTAAAACCCGGATGATGTATTTTTTTCTCATTTCAATTTGGTGATTGAGAACGAGGGTTGAAACTTCACTTAATTTAGTAATACCTGAATCAGTTTTCCTATGCTCTATCAATGTTAACATTTTTCGGGATCATTGGACAGGTTAAGGGTCTAACAGTAATCACGCAAGCGTTTTAAACACAAATTCGCATAGAACATAGCTCCACTATTGTGTATTAATGATCCCCTTGGGGTAGGGCATAGAAATTCCATTACAGCTACACCTATCGGACGCACCAAGCCACATAACATCAGCTACCACGTCCACTTTTTTCTCCGTTTCCAGATCGTCGATTCTGTCATAAACAGATGATGATGCTGATCTCTACGATTTGCACACAGTGATCTTTTCGCCTGTCACTCAGGCCCGATCAGATATCGGTTGCCTTGTTATACGCAATATTTTGCAGACCGACTGATGACACCTTTTGGTATTTAAACATACACGTTTCGTTAATAGAGGTATCAACAAATATATCAGACGCCACTCAAACCGAATTGTCCCCTTTTAATCAATTTTATTTTTTCCCGAGTATTGGGTTTGCGAAATCGGACGAAAAGAACATGAATTCGTGCAGTTCATTTCAGTTCGTACAACTAATAACCATGCACTATTGTGCACCGGTTTCTGCTCCTATCTTTCGGCTGCCTATTTGGATGAACTTTAGGAGAAAGACAGGAAAGGTTGAAAGTAGAACCGAAGAGAAAGTTGAAAAATTCAGTGGACTAATGATACACAGAAAGTGAGAAGATACACGAACGCCACCGTTTACGACACCCAGCCATATCACTCAGTGTCTCTAGCCATCGGGTACGACCACCCCGAGGTTCCCATCCAGGGAACCTAACAGGACCTGAGTGACCAAGACTCCTGGTAGGGGTTTTCATACACCCATGCCAGGTCTTAGCTTGACCACCCTGGGTTTTATTCTACCCACTACCTGCCTCGGCAAACATCGCTGGCCGTGACAACCTATCTGGTGACATCCTTAACACATGCCCTAACCAACGTAATCCCACTCGCTCCAGTGGGCGACCGCGGTTGCCTAAATCTTTGCGCCTAACCTCAGCATTGCTCGTCCGGCTGCCACACCAGATTCGTGGGTAGACAGCGTATTTACCCAGTTTTCTGACAGCGTTTCCCATTAGCTCTCTTTCACGAGAGAGTAAGCAACACCAAACCATGGAACAACCAATTAAATACAAACTGAATTTATCGCAGACCAGAAAAGCATTGATAGCGTATTTTCCGTTTCACTTTTTCAGCTGATTTCGAGATTGTATCAGGCGATGGTGCCTTGTTGCAGTATTTATTCACAGTCTGTCCTCTAAAAGACGGGAAGTCAAATACTGTGCTCACAAAATTCCACGTAATTATGGGTTATAGAAGCTAGAGAATCAGTTTCCTCGTATACAGAGAGCAAATGAAGCGTGGAGTGAGAAGCGCTAGGGAGCACTGGACAGCGCTTTTAACCTGGCTGGGTCTCATTGGCAATGAGCTAATCCATCGAGCTAACCAGGGAAATAACCCGAGGCCTCACAGGTGGAACGCTTGAATGAACGAGAAGCAGTTCAAACGGTTTGCCGTTCCCAGTCTGTATCCAACATCCATCCTCCTTAGCTCGGCTTCAGTTCTATATCGCCACGACCCTTAGATCCACTGACGAAGTAAAGTATCCAACGATTTGTTGCAGGCGGCAAAGCAATTGCATCATTCTCTAATAAATTGTAAGTTTCACACAAACACAATTCCATTTATCTAACTGATTCCAGTTGTTGGCGACCTTTCAGTAGAGTGTTCGTTACGGATTATGAGCCACGGTGTATTGTTTTGTTCCACTAGGTAAATGAACACAATGGTCAAAGGGTGTAAACAACACACCGGGACTATACTTACGCTGGCCATCCCTCGCCGGTAGTCACCGTAAACAATGTGAGCATTGCATTCAACACATTGTCATAGTTGAATTCGTGCACATTCCATGTTCGATTCTGCACGTATGGTTCTCCGCGTTCGTTGTACTCAAAAAAGTAGCCCCTGTTTGTGGGATAATGATAGATAGAGGTCATAGAATTGGTTAGATGTACTTTAGTATGAATGTATTTTTGGCTCGTCGAAAGTTTATGAACAACATTATTTTGATTAGCTTGAACAAAACCATCATGTTGGAAGATGGACTGTCACCAACATCAAATATTATAATGTTATTATTATTATTATTATTATTAGTTACGACACAAGACAAAGAATAATAATGAAATCATTAGCATTTGACTCACAGTTTCTTCTGAGTAGTGGTGTAGGATAATTGAGTTATACTGATTTGAGCTGACTGTTCTTCGGACTTCACCTTCACACACAATCCTTAGTTCATCAATTTAACCATACCCTCGGAAGCACTAGACTCAAGTTTTGCTCTCATTGGAGCTCATCAGTGTTGCATATCCTGTACACCTGAACAANACCACCACCACCACCACCACCACCTGACTTTCCCCATCTATGTGTGTTGAATGGCAGCTCTTTGATTGGCGGATTTCCTCCTTCCTGAAAATTAAATCCTTCTTTGTTCAATTAAAGGAAGTAAATGAAAAGAAAAAAGAAAGAGAAAAAAATGTTCATCTTTCGAGTCAGCTTGATGCCGGGTTAGTTGCAGCGCGCTGACCAATACGTTTCACACAAACTATGATAGTTCAAGTTTTCCTCACAGTTACTTGTAAGTAGTGGTGTGGGATAATCGTTTTTAAAAATTTGAGCTGACTATCCTTCGGACTAGCCTTGTAGATTCGTTAGCAAATCAGTCCGTACCTGCAACGAAATCCTGACTTGGTGGGAGGCTTTCGATTGGAGTTAACAGTATGTCATCTGTGTCTCCCTTCGTTGCTGAACTGATTATCCCTGAAGACGAGACCTGAACAAACATGGATTGGCAATTTGGTTCAGTTATGGCATGAGCTGGTTGGTGCAGTGGTAACGCACACAGCTTCCATGCGATGGGCCCTGAGTTCAAATCCCGGACAGGACGGTGGATATGCACTACTGATGAGCGCTGTAAGAGCGAAACTCGAGTCTAGTGCTTCCGAGTGTGTGTTTGAATCGATGAACTGAGGATTGTGCGTGAAGGTGAAGTCCGAAGGATAGTCAGCTCAAATCAACAAAAACCATTAGTCTTTCCTTTAGTAACCAAATACAAACAGTTGTTAAGAAGCAGGAAAATATCATGTGCATGTTGCGTACGGACATAACAACTTGACATATTTAAAAGCGGGTGAGGATATTGGAATATATGACCACCAGGTCGGTACGCTTGAGAACCGTATCATTTTTCATCTTGATGCTCTGGAAACCACCGCATGCATACACACTTTTCTGTAATGACCACTTTTCCTCTAGGTTCCGATTGGGGTGTTCATTGCGCACTATGCTGTTGAATATTTGGTTACCAGTTTTTCCGGTATAGTACTACTTCGACATAGCTGTTCATCACAGAGACTATCCATGATTGCAGAAGCTTTTTACACTCACTGGCGGCCAAGGCGGTGAGCAACATGTGGTATACAGTGGACGTAGCTTGTAATGAAAGCTTTGGTTATGAGCTCTTCAAGAAAGACTCAGGAGCAGAGTGTTTAGAAAGAAAACATGACATCCTAATATGAAACGTTACACAAGTCGCAATTTTTCCATAGGTCAAGACTCTGAAGAAGGATTATCCTTTTATATAACCATTAAAAACTGAATGCCCCTTGTTTAGGAATTGATTAGCCAATTTATTCACATTCAGTTCCATAAATAACAAATCGAAGTGGGACGTATATTTAACAAAATAATTTATTTACTGATAAACATTATTACTGGTGATTTAGTTCGTTGGTTAGCTCCGTTAACCTAAAGTGACTAACCTTAATTAGTAGCACAAAATAACCTCCGAGTATTTCAGCAAAAATTGCTTAAACAAGATTTTCTGTGCACCTACAACTGCCCTGGAAACGATTGACATCATTATTTACTTCGATTAAAGGTTGCAATCGACTTTAGATGACTGGCAGATACTGATGCTCGGATTTTGTTTCCCGATACACAGCGATTAGAAAAATGGCCATCCTTTGGGATGGGCTACTTACTGGCATTCCTCACGTGTCATTTTGGAGGCATCGTTACAATAGAAAAACTTTCCCTGAAATAATTGTACAGCAATCACGGCAAAGATGAACTGGAACAGCCAGTATACAATGAAGATGGATGATACGTTCTTCAGCGAGCTAACCACACAATCAAAGACCGCCTGGTCGACCGTGAAGATGACGGAAGAGGGGGGGAGGGGTGGAAGAGCAAGGGAGCGGGAGATGGGAGTAGGAAGAAGATGAGGAATCATTCCGACAGTCAACAGATATAAAGCACTTAAAAATTCACTCAATGTAGACGTAAGGTGACGCTACGTGGCCCTGACAATCCATGCGATCTAGTTCACCTGATATACGTTTATCCTAAAACGTTGAGTAGCGTATGTTGATATTATACGTTTGATAGTGTCGAAATCATGATTGTCATTACGACCGTTTTATTTTCCGCAAATTATTTGTGCCATCCTGATCAAGGTGGTAAACGAAGTACTGATACAGGTGTTAATACTAGTGGAAATAAAATCAGCGCTTATAGTTACACTCACAGCCGTGCCATCTGATTGTCTTAACAATTCAACAGAAAAATTTATATGACTAAAGCCAAACACCCGATTGAAGGGTTTCTAAATGCTTCACATTTGGTGATTTGCAACTGTCAAATTTAGAAGAATTTCTGCAAACCGATAGCCGAGAAAATGAAATAAAATAAATCCAAATTGTTCAGTGGAGCAGAAAATGTGTGTGTGTGTTTGTGTGTATGTGTGTGTGTGTGGTTAATTTGGCTCCGTGAATGACTTAGGACCGCTGAAATTTCTCATACTTCACTGAGTTGTCAATCAAGAAACTGTTCTGTTTGAACTGCACGTGGCTTTGCCACACACACACACACACACACACACAAGAGAAGCACAAGGACTAGCAAGCAAGCAAGCACTTATGCAAGTTCTTCAAATAATAACAGCTAAAATTTATTTTTCTTTGGCTTTAGCAAAGAAATCCTAATTGTTTATATAATCGTCGAAACCCTCATATCTCCTTATAAGGTTCGACAGACTTGATAGAGTAAAATGTTGGGAGCAAAGCTCTTTTTCATGCTCCCTATCGGTCGCAAAAGAGTAACATTCGAAAAGACATTGGAAACTGAAAGAGGACAAACAATTAAGGCGAAACCAGCTCTTAAAAGGAGACTAAAGGTGAGTGGATCAAATCGAGACAGTCTCGAATACATTTGAAAGTGTTTTTTGTTGCACGGGTTCAATGTGGATCGCAATGACGTAACATGACAGGGAAGGTATCGTTTGACCTAGTGACTGCTCTCAATCAAGTGTCATATCTACTCTCAATTGGTTAAGCTGAGTTATCGGCTTTAGCACATAATTCGAGATGTGCTGAACGATTCTTGTACCCTGTATCCTGTTCAGTTCTACCGATGCGTATTTCAAATGGGAATTCGTCTTGTTTACGGCAAATGAAGCGTAAACTGAAAAGCTGGGAAGCACTGGACAGCTGTCTCGACCTGGTTGGATCTCTTCCGCACTGTGAATCCATCTACCCAACTGGGGATTGAATCCCGGGACTTCATGGGCAGGACGCAAGCATGCTACCCATTAAACCACCGAGCAGCTGATCAGACTGTTTTTCATTTCCTCCATTACTCACATGACGCGTATCTGCTTGTCATTGCTACAAATGCCTAAATACAGTGAGAGATGGAATCAACAAGAATGCAGTCTGCGAATGGTGTGAGGAAGCTTAGTTTTGTAGGATGTAAACATTGTGTCAGAACATAGGGAGCCCTTCAAAGAGTGCTTTGATGAGTTTCGTTGTCAGCTGTATAAGGTGGCCTCCCGCTTATGATGCAGCCTGGTAGGTTTCTAAGCGATGTGTTAGTAGTACGCCTTTTCCTTTGTCCAGAGAAATGAAAGTAATGAATTATTCAGCTTGGGTATTGTTGCCTGGGATGAAGATTATTGGTGAACTTTCGGTCGAATTTGTATACTCCTTAAGGATTTCATGCGTTTTAAAGAACAAAGCCCCAAAATACTATTTTCCTGTTTATGAGACGAACAGCTGTCTAAATGTAAGCAATATCCAGCCAATAGTTCTATTCAAATCAAATCTCCGAACTGAACTCCTCAGCCGACTAGTTCAATAAAAGTCGAGAAAGAGCAAAGTGCTTTTCGTTTGGACTCTCCGAGTAAACCCCAATTTTAAATGAACTTTATTAGACTCCTCTAATACTTTTTCGACATCTTCATTTTGATTGATATCGAAAATTACGTAATAAACATTTTTATTTTGGATTATGAGGTTCGGTTGACAGTGGGCACCAATCAGCTCTCAGTTGTATCCATAAAAGAGGTTCGCTACGACTAGAATGTACAGTCTACCGAGGAAGGCCGCATCAACCTGACAGAATTCATCTCTTCAGGAATGACAACTGGTGATCTCAGCATACAAATAAATGAAATTTTCGATCCCTCACCCACTAGAAAATTACAGTGCCGTTTTTTAAAATAAAATCACAAATTAATCACACAGTTCTGTGTGATCACTTCAAACTAGACCACGGATTTATCACAAACACTTGAGTAAAATGCTCTACGTTTGCAAAAGATAAGCGTGTGCAAGAAATTCCTCCTGCGTTAAGTATTCAACGAGCCGCACAACTCAAGATCAAAGTATGTATTTTTTTTGGAATACATTTTTAGCTTTTTTCAGTATTAGGGATGATGCGTGAGTAGTTGATACCAGAATAATTCATCAAATTATTAGTAAATTTTCCTTTATTTAAGTGTGAACTGAATGAAAAGAGATGAGAAATTAAAATTATATTTCTTTAATTCAATAAAATCTCCTGATAGGAGAATCATTTGATAGAAAGAATGAATTTACATACTTCTTTGCATAAAATATTTTCCAAATGAAACCTGTAACTTCCAAGATACTACAAATTTTATCGCGACACTCAAGGTCATGCAAATTCAAACGGTGATAGAAGACAACTAAGAACATAGAAATGAGAGGTAAAGTCAGGAATAAATGCACCATACCCGTAGCTATCGAAATACATGTATGAAATTGGAGACTGAAATGTATTTCCGAAATGAGACTGATATTGAAGGAGTTTGATCACAACCTGCTGCACATGGTAGACATCCTCAATCCCTTTCGTAAGTTTCTCATGCCTCAGTATGTAAAAGATTTTGTTTATTCTCTAAAATTTTGGAGATATGACAATACCCTACAGTAAATGTATTCGAAGGATGTGTATTCATCTTCTACTATATAGAACCTTAAGGAACGACTGATATTTTGTGCCTATATTTCTTCAAACACTTTCCCATTAATATTGAGAGAAATTACCCTAATATGTACAGAAAACATTTAATTTGAGTTTGAAGCGACCGCATACAAACAGATTGATGGCGTGACAATGGGCAGTTCATTGGGTCCCATGTTGTCACATTGGTTTCTAGGAATGATTTAGAAAAAAACTAAGCTTGACATTTCCAAGTCCAACTTGTAAAAACGCCGCGTGGACGATATTTTTATTCTTATAAATGATGAATATTTAAAACAATTTTGCAACATTTTAACTCAGTCCATCAATGATTATCTGTAGTTCATGCACTGGAATTCATTAATGCATCATAGTTTCCAGACATAAAAGTTACGTGCCTTCAAAATGCATAAACGAGATGCGGTGCGCTCTATTTCTAAATCCATCCCGGCTGAACTTCAAAGG